CTTTATGGGAGCAGAAAGCCTCATCTTTCTCCCTTGGAACAGCTGGTAGTTTCAAACTGCTGCCCTTGAGGTTTGCAGCCCGATTCGTAACCACTACGATACCAGAGCTCCTTGTTGTTATGTATCGTGGAGTCGATTCTGACTCATAGTGACCCTGTACAGGGTTTCTGAGTCTGTAAATCTTTACTGGAGCAGAACGCCTCATCTTTCTCCCACAGAACAGCTGGTAGTTTCGAACTGCTGACCTTGTGGTTCATAGCCCAATTCGTAACCACTACGCTACCAGAGCTCCTTAGTGGTAATGAAATCCTTTTTACACGCAACTCTGCACCGCTGCTGTGGGATTTCTTTACTCAGCCCCCTGTGGGGCGTCTAGGTTGTCCCCAGTCCTGGGTCCTAAGGGTGGTACAGCCTGTCTTTGGCCCGGATGCTAAGGACCGTCTGTTAAGCCCAGCCCTTCAGCACCACCCTGCTTGCCTGGTTGAGCTTTCTGTCACTGGCCTGGGTATATATACATCTGAGTCTGTGTGTGTATATCCTCTCTTCCGTGACCCCAGAGAGCCTGCCACGACAATGCCATACCGGCTTCTCTTCTCATGCCTGGAATGTTAGCGGCCCCCCAGCATCCTTTGAGCTGTGTCCCTGGTCGGGGCTTTTTGAGGCTAGAGCATTGAGAGTCCAGAAGTCCCGTGCCAGCTTTGTGTTGGGTGCCCAGCAGTGTGTTTGGAGGGGTCCCCTGTTCCCATGGTAATTGACTTAATGTGATCTTATTCTTCCTGGCTATGTATGGGGCCATCAGGGGGATGGAATTTAGCTGGTTTCCATTTAAAAAAGAAGGGAGTGGGCAGGAGCTTATGTGCCCATTGCTGATTAAGTTTCTGCTCCTCTCCCCTGTTGGTTCCTTCCCTTGTCCCCTTGGGATGGATAACAGTAGCTGCTATCTCTTGAGCACTTACTCAGGGAGGCAGGCTCTGACCGAAGTCTATTATCCCTACGAGTCAGGCACTGTTGTCTCTGTTTTAGAGAGAGGGAAACTGAGGCTCAGGGAGGTGGTAACTGGTCAGAGGTCACCCACTTCATTCCAGAGCTGGGATGTCAACTCCACTGTGTAAGAATCAAGGGCCTGAGCTCCTGAGCATCATGCACCTCACAGCCTGCTTGGAGAAGGTGGCAGCCGTCATGCCAGCGACTGGCTGCCCCTGAACAGAATGGAGGCTGGCCCCCTAAGTTAGTAATCATCAGGCTACTGTTGGCCGCTGGGATGGCACAAAGCACCCCTTAGAAGGGCCAAATCCAGAGTTCCTGGCTCCGATGCAATGCTGCCTAGGACCCCGGGGAGTGTCCTGAGACTCTCCCCTTGACATGTTGTGTGTGATGATGAGTTGCTTCTAGATGGAGTGGGAGCTGGGCCTCGGGTCTCTGGGGTGGCCTGGAGGCCGTCATTGTCACTACCCTTCCTTCCCAAACACTCAGTCCTTTGAACAGGTATCGATCCCCCTCCCCATCCCTGGTTTTGCACTTTGGAAGAACCTTGTTTTCGAAGAACCATAGATCATTTTCCCCTGCTTGCCAGCTGGCCCGTAATTAAGCCATTCAGTAACACCCACTGCAAAGTCCTAATCGAAGTAAACAGGAAAATATGATTTACAATCAGGACAGCCAGTAAATACCAGGGCGCAATTCATTTCTACGCAGAGCCTTAGATTCAGCTCGTTTTCCTGCGTGGAGCAGTTTGTTTGGAATGACAGACGTGGCATTGCCTTGCCCTATACTCAGTCAGCAGCCTCGTTGCTTCTCGCCCGCCCAGGTCGGTCTGCAGACTCTGGGTATCCATGTGCCTTTCTCTGACGCTCTCCCCAGACAGCTGGGATGGTGAGTGGATGGCACACTTGAACAGGAATAGCCTGAGCTCTTCTGTGTTTGCTTGCGGGTGGGGCGGGGGGGTGATATAAACTGGGGAGGAGGTGCCAATGGGTTGTGTGGAGCGAAAGCTCAGAGAGAATGGGGTGGGAAGGCCCCACAAAGGAGCTGAACTTGGTTTGGTTATTTCTGGTGAGGGGACAAAGCTACAAACCCCCTTCCTCTCCCTGGCAAATCTGTTGTTGAAACATGATTTTCCAAGGGTAGGAAATGTATGCCTTTAAATGGGTCTAATTCTCCTTCAGAGGCTCTGGGGATTGCAAATAGTTAACCCTAACAGAAAAGCTGGGGGTTTGAGTCCAGCCAGAGGTGCCTTGGAAGAAAGACCTGGCAATCCACTTCTGATGTTTCAGCTGTTGAAAACCCAGGAACAAAGATCAACCTCAACACACACGGGGCTGCCATGCACTGAAGTCAACTTGATGGCACTCGGGGCTGTGGGTGCAGGGGCAGCCTTTTGAGAAGTGGTCCTGGGTTTTACTGGTCCTCCTCAGAGCAGGCTGCTTTCTTGGGAGCAGCCCCAGTGCCAAGGGGAATAGACAGCTCCCTGAGGCCCCGTCTTGTCTCCTCCTCAAGCCCTTTCTTTGCCTTTTTTTTTTTTTGTCATTTCAGGGAGTTAGCAACACTGGGCTGGGCCATTCTCTACAAGGACTCTAAGCTGAGGGTGCGAGGCCTCCAGGGAGCTGGTTCTACTAATGCTTGCTATCTACCACTGATGATGGCTCACACCTGCCCTGGGCTGGAGCCCCACCCTTGAGGTCCTTATCATGGTGATGATCCCAAGTTCAAGTCTCGACAGCCAGGGAGCAGACTCCGTCACGTGCAGGACTTTCAGACCCGAGCTGGTAAGCACCTTTGTTGGGGCCAGGCACTGAGCATCCAGGCTGGCGAGCTCCCAGCTCTGGGAGACTTCAGGTGGGCAAGAGGACAGACAAGCAGAGAGCTGGGCAGACACTCCCAGGAGGAGAGGTCACTGGTGAGTGGGGACAGGCCCAGCACCCTTGTAAATAACACCCAGTTCAGCTCCGCTGCCTGACTCGCCGCTTTACGGGGGGAGGTGGGGGCGGGCATGTTTCCAGAAGGGGGTGGTGCCTGCGTGGGGGGCCAAGATAAGGCCACATCGCCACAGGGAGGTGGAGAGTGAGCTGCACCCCAGGGATGGCAAAAAGGGGAGCCCGCCCTCTGGCTGCCCTCTGCCAGACTGCTCAGGGTGTGGAGAGGCGGGTGGGGTCAGGGAGGTACGTGAACAAAACAACCTCTAGCAGCTGAGGCTGGTTATAGCATTAGCCCCTTCCAAGCCGAATTCCTCCCAAGGTGGGAGGCGGCCCTCCGGGAGGGAACCGGAAAAGCCTGTGCTCAAGTAGAAACCACCCTTGGGAGGACTTTTACCCGTGGGTGCGTCTCTAGAACCCCAGCCGTCTCTGGGCAGTGTAGAGCTGCCTGCCAGGGCCCAGGATGCCCAGCACCCTGCCCGGCATCTTTCACAGCCACCTCAGGAGAACCCATGTCAAGCCCCTTGGTGGGCTCCCACCCCTAATTCACACCAGTGAAAATTAGACCCACAGCCGACAGGCCTGGGAAAGTCCCTAGAACCCGCCTTTGTCCCACAGACCTTTCCAGAACTCTTCAGGGTAGGGCATGGGGGAGGGGGCACGGGGATTCAGAGAGCAGAGACAGTAAGTCGGAGCCAGGCCTGACCCTCTTAGCAGCTGTCTGGGCAGACTTAGGTCCAGTAATGTTCCCCGCTCCCATTCCCACCACTGAAATCTGAAGCCCAGGGGAAATCCAGGGTGGTAGGAGAGGGAGGGTGGACTTGGCTCTAGCAGGTCAGGGAGAACTTTGCTAGGCAGGGACGCTGGTCTTGACCTTGGTGGGTGAGGAGGAGTGCGCTGTTCCTCTCCCCCGTCATTTTACAGGCTCTGTGGCTGTCTCCCTCGCTCTGCCCTTCCCCTTCACACCAGTCCCACTTCTGGTGCCCATGGCCAGGTCTCTTCCCGCAGACTAAGGCAGGTGTGAGCCCAGGGCATGCGCCGCCCCTCAATCTCTCCAGTTTTTGCCAGACAAAGCCGCTGTATTCAGCAGCATTGGCTCATGGGAGCTACACAGTATCTCAAGTACCTGTCCACACCAGCCCCAAGGGTGGGGCCCAACTAACTCATCCTGGTGAGTGTTTGCTGGATGGCACCCTTGGTCCCAGCAGCAGGCCCTTCGATGGGTCTCCTGCCCGACAGTTTGCATTGATGAATTCTGGATCAGGCTTTTCCAGAATTGGATTTCTTCTCACCATCCCCAGTGCCATCACCCTGGTCCAACCAGCACCTGTGTCTCCTGAGTTCTTAGAGTAACTGATCCCTGCTTCTGCCTTCTAGTTTCTTCTCTACCCAGGGTCTTAAGGGAAGGTGAGTTAGACACTGACCCTCTTTAGCTCAGATCTTCCCTCTGGCTTTTACTCTCATGAAGAGTGAAGTCCAGAATCCTTTCTAGTACGCACAGCACCCCATGGAATCTGCCTCCCCCCACCCCCCACCTGATTTCATCTCTGTTCCTCTCATGGGTCCCTTGACTCCAGCCACACTGGCTTCCTCGCTGAAACAAGCCAGGCACAAGCCGCCCCAGTGCCTTTGCACTTCTTATTCAACCTGTGATTCTCTCCTTCAGTCCTTTCTCTGCCTCCACTCTCCCTCCAGCACTCCTTTTTCTAACTTCCATGTATGCACTGAGCATAATCCAGAATGTTCCTCCCATCCTGAATGTGAGCTTCATGAAGGCAGAACATCTTGTCTCTTTTGCCCATTGTGTCTACTCAGTGCCTAAAACCGGGGCCCAGCCCATTGCTGTTCTGTGAGTGTCTAGAATGAGTCAGTGTGTGCATTCCAGTAGCCCAGCTGCTGCTTGGCTCTTCGGCTTCTATTTGCCACTATTTTCAGTTCCTGGTGGTCACATGGAGGCCTGAAAGGGTGCAGATATGAGTTGCTTTGTTTTCTGTTGTTGGTGGCATTTGAAGAGCACATCTGGAGCAGTGACATCACCAGGGTTGGTGTCACCCCACCCTCCCCCATGAGCCTTCTAGACTAGACCCTACAGAGTCCTTGGTGGTGGTGGGGGTATGCCTTCAAGTTGGGTCCCACTCATAGTGGCCCTGTGTACGGTTTCTGAGGCTGTAAATCTCTCCATGAGCAGAAAGCCCATGAGGCGACTGGTGGATTCAAACTGCTGACCTTGTGGCTAGCAGCCCAGCGCATAATTCACTGTGCTACCAGGGCTCCTTTAGAACCCTTAGTAATGATTGTTGTCAACTTTAATTGTAGGATAATAAGCTAACATGTGGTCAGTATAGTCATAAGTTACTTATATGTAAATTACTTAAATGAATATCAACAACACACAAAATTGTTTCATGCACTCGGTACATTGAATTGCAAAAATCATATTGGTCACTGAATGGGAGCCTTATTTGATTTTCCTCTTTTCCTGTAAAAACAACTTCATTCTCAAAAAAAAGTTATCGGCACAGGCCCACGAATACTAATGACCACATTGTGGTGAACATGCCCCAAACTTTGACAAAATCAGTGAGGATCAGTGCCCCGCATTGGTGGAAACAACATGTGCTTGCAGTGCATGCAGACAAAACCATGTGATTAGACAAAACCACATGATTAGAATCGGCGCTATAATTGGGTAATAATGACAGCGCTGACCAGATCACATTAGGAGGTTCACAGAGTAACTGAGTAGTATAAGGTGTCAGTCTAGTACTTGTATTCAACTGTGTAAGCTGGGCTTCTGAAAAATATCTTCGATGCTATAACTATAAAATTTTCTACATATAAATTTTATCCTGAAATGGCACACTAAAATTTCGTAGTGACTTTGGTGCCGTCCCTTTGACACTGCACCCCCCGTGTGCCTCTAGTGACTGAGAGTACCTTGGCCAGGGTGAGGGACTCCACGGGTTCCTGTGTTGGCTCCGTGGCTGCCATGATGCCGTTCCCTCCTCAGAGCAGGCTGGCTGGCATTGGGCCCTGGGGCTGCTTCACTCTTCTCACGTCTCTTTGGAGAGACGTGCCTAAGGCCCTGCCAGAGGAATGTGACTGCTCAGTTCTCTCGGGAAAGGAGGACTGGCCTCTAGAAAAGAAGAGGGAGACGTCTCGCCAGACAAAGCCGATTACTGGAAGCAGCTCTGAGCCTTGTCCTAGCACACACCTGCTGTGGCTCAGCAGTCTTTGCTCTTCTTCCCGTGACAACAGTCCTCTTCCCGCTGCTCTAGATTCAGAGCCTCTGACCCAGCGCTCTGGGCCCATTTCTCCTTTTTTTTCTCCTTTCCCCCTAACTCCCAGATGGCAAGGGCTGCTCTGTGGAGCCAGGTGTCGGCTGTGCAGGGCAAGTGGAAACGTTCTGTGGGCAGTGAGACGTGTCAGGAGAGAGAGTGAGTCCTGTAGACAGAAAGCCGTGGCTCAGGACACTCAGATCTCACAGCTGGTGCCATGGCAGTGGGCTAGACCACCAGCCAGTCCTTCTGCCCTGGAACCGGCCCCAGCCACATTGAGGCTCCACCAGGCCTTGACGAGACGCACGCTGTATATAAGCCAAGTGCAAGACCAGATTGCCTTCATCTCAGGGCGAGAGGATGTGAGATAGCCTGGCGCAGGAGACAGAGGAAGTTGATGGGGGTCTGCATTGGCTTCCTAAGCTGGTAACGTCATCCTCACATAAATGCCATCAAGATAACAGGAAAGACCAAACAGAATTTTTCTTTTGTTTTCTAATTAGACTCAGAAGATGACAGAAGTTGGGGATAAAATGGAGAAGGAAGGACTGTTGAAGGCGGGGAGGGACCAGCATGGCCACTTGGGGTGACAGGTCACCCCCATCAAGGGAAAGTCGCCAGGTCCTTGGAAGCAGAGACACCCCCCTCCGTGTCCCTGTAGAGGTCCTGTGATGGTTCTCATCTTCCCTGCTTTATAAACACGAAATACCTGTGATAGTGTGACTGTCCCTGCTCCTGGGACAGGTGAAGGAGAGAATAGGAAAAGATGCCACCACACCTGTGTTTCCCTCCCCAGCCTGGGAAGGAGCTGGGCCTGAGGAAGCACTGTCTCTGGAAGCAGCCTTACAACCACCGTTGGCCGTGCCAAGTGGGGAGCCCCTTTCCCGCCCCATGTCAAGTTAGTGTTTCCTGGTGGCCTTCTAACATTAGCTGTTGCAGGAAGGTCATCCAGACAGGAGACCTGCAACGCACTGCCCTCCCAAGGCCTCTGTGCCTGCCAAGGTCCAGAGGCCCAGCCTCCAGACCTCCTACTATCTGGGCACAAAAGGGGCCCGGGGCTGGACCACTCCTGCCAAGGGCAGTGAGGGGCTGCAGTCTCTAGATGTCATCCTATGGTCATGTTGGGGTGCTCCTTAGGTGGGTGGAACTGTGGAGCTAACCTGGAAGACAAGCCGTTTAAACCCTCCAGCCAGGGAGAAAAATGTGGCAGTCTGCTTCGACCAAGGCTGTTGTGGTTTTAGGTGCTTGTTGAGTTGGTTCTGACACATAGCAACCCTGTGTGTAATGAATGGAATGAAACCCTGCCTGGTCCTCTGCCATCCTCAGTCATTGCTGTGTTTCAGCCCATAGTTTTGACCACTGAGTCAGTCCATCTCGAAGAAGGTCATCCTCTTTTTCTCTGACACTCTATCAAGAATGATGTCCTTCTCCAGGGACTGGCCCCTCCTGATAACGTGTCAAAAGTACATAAGAGAAAGTGTCACCATCCTGACTTCTAAGGAGCCTCTGGCTCCACTGACTCTAAAGAGGACTGTGGGCCAGGTTCACTCTGCCCTACAAGGTTGCTGTGAGTTGGAATGGACTGGACAGCAGGGAGTTTGGTTGGAGTTTCTCAGGTAGGTTGGGCAGGTGCATCCTTCTGTCATGACAGATAAGGTGCCAGCTTTAAGAGCTGGTGACCACATCAGGCCTGGTGTTCACTGTCTATATACATGATGGGTTTCCGTGGTCAACCCTGCTCCTGCCCACCCTGCATTGGCACTGGGGGCTCAACAGTCCCAACCAGGAGCTCTGCTCAGCTATGGGTGAGTGTTGAGTGTGTGAAGACCCTGGGCTATCTGCTAGCCTGTGACCCAGCTAGGCAGACACTCCTGAGGCCTCCAGGCCTGGCTGACCCTGCAGCCGAGGAGCCAGACCTTGTCTCCATCAGGACCCCGGAGCCTCTGCCAAGCCGTACTGCTTCCATTTCAGCATCTTCCTCTCTTCGGCCTGGTCTGGGTCCCCCATGAGCTTGGTTCTGGAGGCTGGGGTGCCTGTGAGATTCCCCACCAAGAGCTTCAGTGAGAGTCTCCTCACTTGGTGCTGTGGCTCCCTGGGATGCTGGGCCAATGGAAAGGAATAGCCACATGGCCAACCATGTGGGAATGTCAGGGAGAACCAAAGCGCTTCTTGCAGCAGTGTGTTCCTTTGGCTGAGGCTGGGTTGTGCCTGTCTTTATGTGAGGGCTGCTTTCCTTAGACTCCAGGGGATTTCCAGCCTCTCTCACCAGGGATCTGCCTCTGGAAATCTCTGGGGACCTAAGGCACTCACTGCACAGGAGTGATGCCTGCCCTGATGTAGACTCAGAAAGACAGCTTCCCACCCAACAAATCGGGGGAAACGTGCTGATTGTCCACTCTCTCAGTACACCCCAGCCTGGCCTGGCATTCCCCAGGGCCTGTATTCACATCCTTCCCACGGTGGCCACAGAGGTCAGGGCCAGAGCAGAAATGGCATGAGCCAGCAGGGATAGAGTTTGCTGGGGATGAAAAAGCTCCGAAAAACCTGGAGCCAAGTGGGAATGGCTGGGGTGGCCTTGGCCATGTGGGTTGGCCCCTACCCCTGGGAAGCTGTTGGGTGCGTGACATTCTGGCTGGGGCACCGACAGCTCTGTTTCACAGACTGGGCAGGGAGCAGGACAAGGCTCTGAGCCCACATGGAGGTCATGTACAACCTCCGGCCGACTGGCTTAGGTGTGACCAGCAGGGACCATTTCCAGATGAGAGTCCCTGGGATAATCTGAAAGGACTCAAAGACAGGTGGGGATTTCAGTGGGGACAGTGGTGGTCTGTAGTCTGGTGACCAGGGCAGTGAGAGCTCACTACTTGGGAGCTGCAGACTGCTTTGAGACCAGCAGCAAACACTGGGGGAGCTCGGGGACTGAACCAAAGATGAGTGGTTGAGGGAGTAATAAGGACAGTGTAGGGAATACCTCATGGCCTTGAGGGTTGTGGAGCAGGCTGACCAACCAGGCGGGGCAGGATGGGTGCCCTCTGTCACTCAGTGGCAGCCTCGTGCTCACACGTCCACTCACCTGCGGGGCCCCGTGTACAGAGGACAGGTGTCCCACGTTTGCCCACGCCTGAGTCAGGGCCGGGCGTTGCTCTGCTTCCCGCTTTTGTCAGTGACGCTCCACACTGGCTGCCTGGCCTTCTCTCTTCTGCTTTCCTAGTCTGTCCAGGCTGAGGTTTCTGTGGGCTCTGGCCGTGTGGCTGTTGCCCCCTCCCCCAGCCATGGCAGACATAAGGGGGTGGAGGACTCTCTGGGTGCCTGTACCCTGGAAGCCAGCCTCCTCTCCAGGCAGGGTCTGGCCCAGGGCGAACCCCTTGTCTCCCTACACCCGTCCTGGAGCCAAGGGCCACCCGACCACCACCCTGGATGAATGCTGTGGCTGCATGGCCAAGGTGGCGGGCCTCCAAGTTTTATCACTAATGCTCCAAGTGGTGTGACCTTTCAGCTGAGCATCCGCCAGTCAGCTGGGAGGGAGGGAGGTACAGTTGAGCTGAACTCTTTCCAAGATGGCTGGGGACTAGGTGGTTGGGTTGTTGCTGTGAGACCCCCGATCTTGAGGAGGAGGTGTGCAGTGGGCCCACCTCACCCCACCTTTCCAGGCAGCCAGCTCTGAGCTCGCCTTCCCTAACCTGCTCCACAGCCCTGTCTCTCGAGTGTCGATGTGATGTTTGCCTTCTTGACTGTCCCCTCCACTCTGGGAGCTTCCCTTTGTCACCTCTGTGTCCCCAGGACTGGCACTGGTCACCATGGCAAAGCTGTTGGGATGGGGGAGCTGGTGCCAGGTGCTTGTCACCGTCTTATCTGGTGGGACAGATGTCCCCTGGGCAGTCCCACCCTCATCCTCCCAGGCTCCCACCCACTGGTTGGCCTACTTGAGTGTGTATCCCTGTCGTGTGGGGGGAGGTGGGCTCCCTTGGAGGCGGAACCCTCTCTGACCAGCTGGCTGTCTTCCCGGGCCTGAGAGCTACTTTCCACCATTGTGGGCCCTACCCCCAACACAGTACCTACTCACCAAAACTGTCCGTATTTGCTGGGTGGTTGAGTGAGTGAATGAATGAGTCTTTGGCATACTTGAGGCCCACCCTCCTTCCTGGGGCCCTGCCAGGGGCACAGCCTGCCCCCCACCAGACATGGGCCTTGAGGAGCAGGAATGGCTCCCAGAATTCCCCACACACTGTCAGTGTACTGTGGAGTGTGGACCGGGCGCCCGGGCCACAGCATGGCTCTGCTGCTCTCGGCTGTGGCTGGGGGGACGGGAAGGGGTGTGTGTGTAGAATGTTTGCAATGGTGAGGAAAGCCTTGTGGAAACAAGGCATCCAGGAGTTCAGAAGTCCTAGTGATGATGTCCGGGCCCAATGGAAGCCTGGAGTTCATTTCTGGTCACAGAGATTGCTTGGGGTGGGTGGAATGGTGACCAGTCCCGGGGCTCTCATCTGCTACTTCTACCCAGAGGAGATGTTTTCAGATTTTCAGGGGGGTTGATAATTGGGCCCTGTCACTCACATTCTTCCTGCCACCAGGGGCATCCCCTCCTCTCCCCACCTGGAAACCTTGTTTCTAGTCTAACATAGTGGAGTTTGCTCAACTATTTGTCCTCATGCCTCCTCACGCCCCTGCGTGTCAGGAGTGAAGGACCTATTAGTGTGTTCTCACTGAGAAGTCGGGCAGAGAGTCCATGCCTGCTAACGGTCAGAGGCCATCTCTTCACGTGTGCCTCTCTGTCCCCTGCTCTGATGCTCACGCAAGGCGGCCACCCCTTGAGCTATGATTTTAATAGCTGCTCAGTACAGAGCCCTGGGAAACATTCTGCTATGGCTTGAAGAAGTAAGTGAATAGCTTTTCTGGTTGTTTTCAGCACACCTCCGAGAAGATGAGTCAAGGACCTACCCTTTTCTCTTGTGGAATTATGGGTAAGTAGCTGAGACGTCTGTGTGCTATCCTGTCCAGTCCTCTTCTGGTCAGTTCACTAAGGTCTGAGCCCTGCGGGGAGATGCTGAGAGCAGCTGAGGGGGCTCTTCTGTGGGCGTTCCCAGTCGGGGTCCTGGGAGGCAGGGGTGCTCCTGGGGGCTGCTGAACTGTGTGGAGAACAGGCTCTGGGCGTGAGCAGTACAGTCATTTCTAGCTGCCATATGGGTGGTTCCTTGGGTTAAAACCACTCATGTTTAGAAAACATGCCGTAGTATTAATTATGAAGTAAAAATCTTCTGTGACTCCCCAATACCCATTAATATTTTGGTGTATTTTACGTTCTCTGGCTTTTTTCACATGTTGGGTATATAATGAACATAGGACTTTATAGAATTAGACCAATAGAACCTGCCAAAGCCAGATCCCGTGCAAGGTGGAAACCTATCCCAGAGGAAAGCTGGAATATTTTCCACTCAAAGGAGCAAAAAAAATGTGGTAAGCCTGCACCCTCTCAAAGGCGGAAAACTCACGAGACTTGGAGAAGCAGGGCAGTCTCGTCCAGTTCCAGCTCTCACAGATTTCACTATGTATATAAGACACATAGATGTTTGTTGTTGTTGTTAAGTACTGTGGAATCAGTTCCAACTCATAGCAACCATGTAGAGGGTTTCCAAGGCTATAGGATAAGCACTGGACTGCTAACCACAAGGTTAGCGGGTCAAACCCACCAAGTGCCTTGGAAACCCTATGCAGAGTCACTATGAGTCAGAACCAACTCGAGGGCACTTAACAACAACAACAGTGTTGTGGGAGCAGAAAGCCTCATCTTTGGTATTACGGAGCAGCTGGTGGGCTTGAACCACCAACTTTGTATGGTTCGCAGTCCAGTGTTGCTCCTGTGGAGCTACCACGCTCCCCAAACACATAGGCATATTTTCCTACTTTGGTAGTAGTGGCTATGTGCTGTGGAGTCAGTTCCGAATCATAGCGACCCTGTATATGGTTTCAGAGGCTGTACATCTTTATGGGAGCAGAAAGCCTCATCTTTCACCCGTGGAATGACTGGTAGTTTTGAACTGCTGACCTTCAAGTTAGCAGCCTGACTCATAACTCCTATGCTACCAGAGCTCCTTACTTTGAGTAGCATTTGCTAACATTTCTTTTAACAGTAAAATGGTTCGTTCCATCCATGTTAATACTATGGTGTGTGGCTATATTGTAACACATTTAGGGCTTTAACTGTGTCTGGTTGTTAGGTAAAGGACCCGGCTGTTTGCCGCCAGCGCTAGTGGTGGTTCTGTAAGGTGGTTCCCTGATGGGATATCTCTGAAGGCTCTTGGCTCCTATTGCTGACGCTTTCTGGAAACATTGCCTCGCTCTCATCTCCCTGCGAGTGTAAACTACTTGTTTGGAAGGGGGAGAAGTTGTCTTGTATTGGGCTCTGTGCTCCAGGTGAGGGTGCATGATTTCTCTTGCTGCCCTCCATGAGGTCAGGCAGGACCCCTGAATCGCTTGCCCTCTTTGGGAGCCACCTGGCCGGGGGTTGCTTCTGTAATATCCCTGTCAGATCCAAAGCCAGATTTGGGGGTGGACAACCACTCTGATTTTCCAGTTTGCGTCTCTCGCCCCCAGCTTGCTCTCTGTGCACAGAATTAGATGTTTCTCCTTTAGGCCCAGTGCCCACAACTGAGGTGATGGTGACAGAAGTGGTGTTGGTGGTCCCACTTCATCCCCCAGGAGCTTTGGGTTGAGGGGCATTCTGTTCATTCCTGGGGAGACTGAGGCTCAGTAAAGTTCCCCCACTCTTCACCCCCAGGGTCAGAGGTGGTTCCAGGCATGGGGAGGGAGAAGGTGGGTTTCTTGTCAGTCATGCCCCAGCTCCAGGGGAGAGCCAGAGGAAGAGGAAGCAGGTGCTTGCTTGCCAGGCCCTGGCTTGCCCGTGTGGCACCTCTCCTCAGCGCCTGCCCTGTCGCCTGCTTCCTGGCCCCCTCTTAGGTTGAGCCCAGGAAGGAGCAGTCATGTGTATGTTATGGCTCAGCTCTGTCCTGGATGTCTGGTCTGTCCCCCTGGACCTGACTGCTTGGCTGGGTTGTGGCGTTGCTGTGGGCAGTGCTGGGCCCACAGTACCTCTGAGAGGACTCCTCACTCTTCCTCAGCTCTTCTGTCTGCAGAGGGCATGGTATGCAGTCTGGGAGGCTGGCAGTGAGGTCTCTGAGGGGCTGCTGGTGAAGGAGAGGGACCGAGGGTCTTGGTGATGCCTGATGAAGGACCCCTGTGGGTCCCTCTGGGATGTCTAGCTGGTGACAAAGTCAGCCTTGTGGAGGAAGATTGCAGACCCCGGGGCCCTCCACCTGGGCTGCACAGGGTGAGACACTCTCCTCAGATTTGCGCCCTGTGGAGCCTTGTACCCACCCTGTCCCAGACCCAGGCCCCTCTATCAGCAACCACTCTGCCTCCTGGCCCCCTCCTCACCTCTGGGGCCATCCCCGCACATCTGCTGCTCAAGAGCGGAATCTCCTCTGTACACAGCCTCCCTGGGGAAGAGGCTGGACCTGACCGCCCCCCAGGAAACACCATGGCTCAGCAACCAGACCAGTTTTCCCATTTGGTTGCCGATGGTGCAAATGGCCCTCCGCTGCTGAGAGAACCATTCTGAATGGGGAGTCCCTAGGTCCCCTCGCCCTCAGGGGAACCCCACATTTGCATGGAGGACACTTCTCTTGGTGAGCCGAGGTCACATGTGCACTTGCTTAATCTTCTTTGGTGGAACAGGGCAAGTGGGGTAGGAGCAGGCTCCACTCACCCCCTGGGCTAATTGCAGCCGTTAAACAGAGTCCCCGGATTGTGAACACAGTGCGCCCTCCACTTTCCATTTTCCTCCCTGCTCAGGCGAGGAGAAGACCTGGAGATCAAATCATCTGGGAGAGAGTGCAGCCAGGACCAGTTATTTCAAAAGGCCACTAGGAAAAGTCTTGTAAAGACAAGTCAATGAGCAGAGAACAAAACAATTCATATGCTAAAAAATATTGGATGCGAACCTATAATTACTTTGGGAGTTATGGTAATAAATTATTTATTAATGTAAATGACTTCACAGGCATATAGCATAGAGGTGACTGGAGCAGGCGATCATACATTATGTATAAAAAACAATTGTAAAAATATTGTAGCGGGCCTCCTATGTCCCTGGCTCAGGTTTGTCAGCGTTTTAATTATAAGCTCATACCTTCAGCATTTAATTACTTGCCTGTTAAAGTCTCCTCTGCACATAAAAGGGTTATTCTCTGGGGCACACTCAGCAGTCATTTCTACAACGTAGACCACTTGGCTGAGGTGTCTAACTTAGGTTCTCTTAACTGGGCCTCTACGTGTCTTTGGAGGTAGAATGGGATTGCACTGTGTCTGAAAAAGTCTGTGTGTAAAGATTGAGAGAGTTTGAGGTTTCTTAGAACAAATAAACATTGTCAGGAGGGACCAGTCCCTAGAGAAGGAAGGACACCGTGCGAGGTAAAGTATAGGGTCAGCGGAAAAAAAAGAGGAAGACCCCCTGATGAGATGGACTGACAGTGGCTGCGGCAGTGGGCTCAGACGTAAGAGCAGTTGTGAGGAGGGCACAGGACTGGGCAGGTGTTTCCTTCTATTGTGCAGAAGATTGCTGTGAGTTTAACAACAACAAAACAAACACAGGAATGCACCTCAGTGAACAACAGTAGCTACGAAAGCTGGGCTGCTCAGTCCTGACTTCTGGCCTCTGTTGAACTCCATCTTTCAGGGTTGGCCATTTTGAATGTCAACACAAGGCCAGGTCTGCCTAGAAGAAGCCAATTCTTAGCAAGTAGAGGTTAAAAGGAGACTCATTTTCTGTAATAAAAAGCACATCCATATGCAAGTTTGTCTATGATTTGTTGATCCCTAAAATAGGGGAGGAGTCCTGGCGTGATGCTTTAGCATAAGCACTGGACCACAAGGTCCATTTGAACCGCAAGATTGTTGGTTCAAATCCACCATCCACTCCTAGGAAACCCTATATAGGGTTTTCAATATAAATTGGAACTGAGTTGACGGCGCTTAACAACAACAACAACAAAATAGGGGAAGGTTCGTCTGTGTGAGGTGCTGTAAAGCTTGTCGACTTCAGACAGTGTTTCGGCGGAAAGCACAGAGGGGAAACAGACACGCCTTGTAGTTGGGCCGTGAGTGTTTTAGAGCATGACTGTAGGGCTGGGGTTGGTCTAAGTCCTGCGGAGTGGGCACAATGGTGCCAGAGGACAGGGATGTACCATGGCCACCCCTCCCCCCTGCCTGGTACCTTGCCAGGCTCCCTCTATGTGGAAAGATGGCAGAGGGGGCACCTGGCCTCGCTGCAGAGCATGGGCTTAAGATCATGGACCAGAAGGGGTCTGGACTCTGCCACATGCCAACGATGTGTCCACAAGTGAGATGTACCAACTGTCAGAAGCCGTGCCCCCAGTGAGGTGGGAGTGGGGGTGGGGTAGAGGCCTCATGAGACAAGTCGTGTGTCGAGCAGAGATGGGCATCGAATGCTTGTTCTTCCGCTCTCCCAACATGAGCAGGGTCCCAGTGGTAGTTTGGCTGATGACAGTTTCCTGTGTAGCTGCCCAAGTCCTCTTGTGGGGCCGTGGGGCCGTGGGGCCGAGCTTTGCTGTGTGGGCTTAGAGGTGAGTCACCAACCTCTGTCCCTCTAGTCTTTCTGTTACCATTGTGAATTCCAGTCAGTCCCTACACCTATTTCCTAATGCCTTGGAGAGCGGGCTGCAGCGGGGGCCCGGGGCAGAGCTAGACCCCCTGTGTATCCCACCTTGGGCAGATGGGGAGGCACCCAGCCCAGTGCTTTCTTCACTGGTACCTCCATGTCATCCACAAAAGTTAGTGACAGTCATCGGAGAGAGAAGGAAAGAGTCTTCTTTTCTCTCATTTCCTTGGAAGGGACCAGTGAACTTCTCCTGCCCATCCCCCAGTCCAGCCCAGAGCCCCTTGGGTA